GGGAGGGTCTGATGGGGGAGGGTCTGATGGGGAGGGTCTGTCGGATTTAAAATTGCGGTGCAGCTGGGGCTTTCAGCAAACCCTCTGGTCCAGGCTGCATCCCTCCAAGTAGCCAGTAGATGGCGCACAAAGCCAGGCTTGTGTCTAAGACCGCACAGCCCTGAGGCCGCAGCAACCACAGCCCTGCCTGGCTCCTTTGCTCTCATTTCCTGGATTTGAGCCTCCCGCCTACAGGCGGAGGGGGATCCGGAATAGTGCCACGGTGCGGGGCTGTGTCTGCTGGGGGGTCCCTGAGGCCTTGCTCCGGCTCAGGAAGGGGCACCATCTCCTGGGGGCCCAGGGCTGCACCCCAGGGGCTGAGTTGACAGTCTGTGCATGGCAGCTGTGGGTGGATCTGCTTCCAGTGAGCAGCTCCTGAGGGAGCGAGCACCGTCTCCCCCTCGGCCCACTTCTAGGAGGACGAGGTGTCCGGGGTTTCCCAGCTCCCTCTGGCGGGACACACAGGGGCACCGCAGCCCTGGCCACGCTGCGCCCGAGCAGAGCGCTCCGGACTGGCAGGGCACAGTGCCCAGAGCCTGGCTGGGCCAGGGCGCTTCCTGCAGGGTCTCCACCTGCCTCGCCCACCTGGGAAACAGCTGCAAAACCCACAGCAGTCAGGGGAGAGAAGGAATATTGAAAACATAATGAATATGCAGATTTTCAAGCTACCCCTGACACACAGGACTCTGCACTTGGGACCTGGGTCGAAGCCATGGCAGCTGGGGACTGCCGTCCTGTCCTGACCTGACAGGCAGAGTGAGGGGGCCGCACCCCATCTAGGGGACAACCTGAGTCTGACTGGATCCTGGGGAGGGGTGAAAGGCAGGAAGCCCCTGGGCCTGGGAAGAGGCACCAGGCGCAGCCGCACTGGCCCAAGGGCCCCCGGGGCTTTACGTCTGGGGCAGCCCCAATGCACAGCTCCACGGTGCTCCCAGATCCAACACCTTCTATCACCTTTCCTCTCTTTGTGCTGGGAGCTGAGCTCTGAGCTACAGTCCCAGCCATTTTTACTTTGGGCTGGGTCTCATGAAGTAGTGAAATTGTCCAGGCTAGTTTTGAACTTGGGATCTCCTGCCTCAGCCTCTCAGTGTGCTGGGACTATAGCTGTGCCCCACCATGCCTGGCTCAGATGCAAAGCTTTTTGCATGCCAACATGACATCTCATGTGGAAAATGCCAGCCTGGCCTCCTGTGACAGGCCCCAGGGGTACCCATCATCTCATCCCATCCCATCCCATCCCCATCATCTCATGCAGATGAACATATTCCAATCTGAGAAAACCCCAAATCCAAAAGCTCTTCTGGTCGCGAGCGTTAGGGATGAGGGCTACCCTACGTATACTGTTAGGAGCGGTGTTTCACGGAAATTATTTTAGAATTCGTGGAAAAGCCATGCTCTCATGGTTTCCTTCCTGCTGTTTTTAATCATCAAATGGAGACCAGAAAGTCCCATGGCCCCAGTAATTGGGTGGAGGAAGAGGCAAGGGGCGTGGGGAGGCCAGTACCCCTGCCGGCGCTCCCAGGGGTGGGTGGCCCAGGCCTCCCCTGAGAGCCCCTTTGTGGTTGTGGGAGCTGGAAACCAGGGCTCGAACTTTCAACCCTCCTGTCTCAGCCTCCCGGGCTGCTGGATTACGGGCACGTGCTGCCACACCCAGCTGGAAGGTAGCCGTCCTGTCCCATGAAGGCCTTGCCCAGGGAGCCAGTGTCTCTGAACTGGACTTGTACCACTAGGCGTGGCTTCCCGGTCTTGCCCATCTGAAAAATGGGATGATCCAGGGCATGGTGCGGGGACACTCTTCACAGGGCTCTGGCGCCTCACTGCTGCCCCCAAGCCTTCCCAAGTAGCAGCACTCAGAGGTGGGGGGGCCTCCTGCAGATTCTACCTTCGTGCCTCCCGTTCTTATGAAGCACCCCCGCCCCATCACGCTGAGCAAACTGGAATCCTCTCCGCAGAGCAGATCGTGACATCCAGGTGTTTTCTCAGGGTGACAGGTGTGCGTGGGTCGTACTCGCTGCGGGGGAAAGGAAGGTCCGTTCTGCAGATGCCTCGGGAGCTGCCCCTGGAGTGCGCCATGTGCAAGCCACGGTGCTGCGCTCAGACTCATCAGGGTGGATATTTATCATTTACAGTAAACCCAGCCAGAGGTCACGAGGGGTCCTTGCGCGTGACCGCCTGACGGGAACTGTCACAGAGGACTGCCAGAGCCGCGAGCCTGCAGAGGCCGGCGCAACCTATGCAAGGTCGTCTGCCCCGCCGCTGCCTGCCCAGCCTTGGCCTGGTGCCACTCTTGCATCGATCCCTGTAGCCAAGGATGATGGCATCCAGAGATCTGGTGCGGTCTTCTCAGCGCGGCCTCTGAAGACGTCCCCTTGCCTCGGCCCTCCTGGACGCGCTCCGAGTCCCTGCCACGGGAGGAAGAGCAGGACTCTGTCCGGGCCCAGGGCGGGGAGGTGGGGCCAGCCCGGGGCCCTCGAGGGCTCAGGGATTGGGGGCCAGGGCAGTCGAGGGGACCCAGGTGCTCTAGGCACAGAGCGTGTGCAGTGTGGGCCACCCGGGGGCCCTGCCAGCGGCCCCTCTGCCTGGCTAGTCTCCCTTGCTGGATTCTGGTCCCACCTGTTGGGTCCCCGAGCTTGGGGTCCATTTTGAGGGTGGGCGACGGAGGTTTCTCGGCCCAGCTCCTCCCCGGGGACACCTGGGGTCCTGGTCCTAGTTCCCTGGCTCTGCCTGGATGTCCCTTACACCGGACAGGGAGCAGGTCAGAGAGGCGGACTCCGAGTGGGGAGGGGCGGCCCCAGAGGCGCAGGGAGAGTGGGAACCGAGGTCCCGCACAGGCGCCTCCTGTGGCCAACTCTGCCTGCACTCAGCACCATCTTGGTGGGACCGGAGGGAGGAGGAGGGATCCCTCCAGTGCAGCGGGCACTGGGGGCCATGAAAGGCCAGTCTTGGCCTCTGACCCTTGTCCTTAACTCCCTCGGGAGCTGCTGGCAGGGATAGATGCCCGCGCCCCGGCCCGGCCTCTGGGACAGCTGGTGACAGCTGCACCTGCCCTCTTTCCTTCTTCCCACCGGCTGGCTGG